CACACACACACACACACACACACACACACACACACACACACACACACAGAGACAGAGAGACAGAGAGAAATAGATGCAGTTACACATGGATATAACTATAGATCTATAAATATACAAAGATAAAAATACAGAAAGAGAAAAGGCAAATGGTACAAGATGTTAACAACTGATGACTCTGGGTGAAGGGTATATGGTGTTCCCTGTACATTTTGGAGGGTTTATAATAGTTCAAAATAAAGAGTCAAGGGGAAAAAAATAGTTTGTCTCAACACTGCCTCCCATCTGGGTTACATTTTAGTTGTACTTCTCTGCGCCTTTTCTAGTTCTGGTTTATCTTTCTTGAGAGCTGATGACCAAAACTGCTTTGGTCATACAGGATGAGATGAGTTCAACCCTGCTTTTCGCATTCCTCAGCAGAATCCTGTAGTGCCCAATGGGATCCAATTCTCCAGGAACCAGCTGTCATGACTCCTTGGGCTCTTGCCAAGGATGAAATCAAAGTTCAGCGCCCTCATATGTGAGCTGCTTCAATTACTAATGTATAACTGCTTTAAAACATTGGCCATTTTTCTGCCCACCCACATGGACTCATGAGCTGTTTCTATAGACCATCCCCATTAATTAGATTCTTCATAATCCAGAAGAATTTAGTATCACTGGCACATTCAATGAGTAGTCCCTGAGCATCTGGCACCATGTAGCACTAGAGATACAGTAGCAGGAAAAATAGACGTAAGTTTCAGACACGATGGTGCTTATGTTTAATTGGTAGAAAGATGATAGCAAATAAGTAAGTAAATACAGAGTAAGCCAGTTGGTGATACAATCTAAAGAAAGGAGCAAGCAAGAAGGATGGAATCTGGGGTGAGGGCTGGGAGTGGTCTGCAATTTTTAAATAGGGCAGTGAGGGAAGACATCATTGAAAAGGTAATGTTTAAGTAAAGACCAGAAAAGGTGGTATCTGGTCTTTACAATGATATCTGGGGGAGGGGGGGGATGTTCTGGGAGGTGCAAGTATCCCATGGGGGAGCCATCTGGCCTGAGTAACAGGAAGCTCATGGGAGCTGGAGCTGGGCAGTGAGTGAGGGCGAGGGCAGAGGAGACCAGGCCAAGAGGTGGGGGCAGGTGGTCTTTGTGGCCCTTGCAGTTCACCTGTAGGTCACTGTCTGCCTTTGACCTTGACTTGGAGTGAGATGGGAAACTTAGGAGGCTTCCAAACAGAGGAGTGACATGGTCTACCTCAGATTTTTAGAGTTTCAGCTAAAGCAAAACTATTTCTCTGTGTTCTTTCTTTGAGATAATGTTTGAGTTGATTCCAAATGGATCCCTGAGGAATCTTTTTATTTCTTCACTTCTTTCCTGTCTCCAGCTAACTTACGATGGCCTATTCATATAACCACCAGAGCCATCATGGTTCCATCATGGGGTCTGAAAAGAGCGTTAGCCATTCATGGCTCTTCTGGGTCATGCCCACGTCTTTGAAGATGAAGAGCAACATGGGAGAGATCAGAGGATTTGGACAAGTTAGAATCAGTATGGGTGACCAAGAGGCCAGGAGGCCAAGCCTCACACGAGGGGTGAAGTGTATATAGGTTCAGGGAGAGAGAGACAATGCAGGGGGAGCTCTCTGGGACTCCATGGATGCTGGGCAAGGGCAGAGAAGCAGAAGGTGAGAAATGTCCCTGCCCCTTTGCAGAGTTGTTAAAATTGCAGTGGCAGATGAGTGACTAGGAGAGAGGAACATCCCATTCCTTCTCAATAGGTTGTCACAGCTTAGAATCTGCCAGAGGTATCTTGGTCTCTTCCATCCCCTGAAGCCACTCTTCTAGACATGAACTCCCTGGTCTTTCCTCAATGGGCCAGAGGCAATGACCATCCACAGGAGAATCTCAGCTGGGGCTTCTTGGTGCCCTCTCGGTGGAACTGGATAGCCTTGTTTTCAGGTTCCCTCATTCAAAGGGTGGGTCTGAGAAGGGACTTGGGATTTGGATGTATTTCTTGTCTCTTCACTTACCATCTCTTAGCTCAGTGACCAGAGCAGGGGCCTCACACTGAGCTGAAAGAGCCTTTCCTCCAGGCTCTATGCCCACCATGGGCACCATGTCTCTGTTAGAGACTGAAGGAAGCAACTGAGCAAGTAAGGGCACAGGGGCCACAAGAGAGAGGATCAAGCAAAAACACAATTCCTCATCCTCTTCTTTCTATCCTCCTGGCCCTTTTGGACTCTGTTTATGATCATTATTTTTAATGGATTTTTTTTTTTAAGGTAAGAGGCAAGGAGCTGGGAGACTATTGTCTTATCAGTAGAAAGCATCAATACCAATAACATCAGCTGGTTTTACAACATGACAGACGAGAAATAATCAATGCATAAATTAGAGCTTAAACATTGTCATAAACTCTGGAGCATCAGGATTTAGTGTGGGGAGAGATGGCCAAGTTATGACAAAGTTGTAATTGGGAGACAGGAAGTGACATTATTTTTCACAGCAAAATAAAAAGAAGGGAAAGGAAAGAAATTAAGAGAAAATGAAATGCACAGCCTTTGCCAGGCTGAGTTACAAATGATCCCTTAAAATTAAAAAATGCCAGGAACTTACGTGATATCAGCATTAGGGTGTAGCCCAAAGACTTCAGGGTTATCTAGGGATGGCAGTGACTGGATGTACTCAAAATACTGATCCAGGGTTTTGCACAAGGGGATTTTATATCCAGTATAAAAACAGAATGATGGTTCAAACATCTTCTCACTGAACCAGACCTATGCAGGAGAGAAAAAAGAAGAAATAAAAGTGATGAACATCTAAATGAAAACTATAAGGAAGGAAGGGTCACCTTATTTCCATTTTAATAGATTTTTATATTGAGTTTGAAAGGATCTTAAGAAAACCACGGATAGAAATAATTAGCACAATACAAAGAAAAAAGAAAGGCCACATGACACAAAAACGGTGAAGCCTGAGCCTCTCTTGAACACCAAAGAAGACGCTTGCTAACAGTGACAAGAGAGCCAGCCTTGCAAGCACACTCTCTTTGCTCCACTAAACTCACGATCCCCCATCCCACTTTTGAAGGCGAATGAGAACACACTGCAGAGAGGAGGCCATAACCATACACAGGAGAGAGGATCTGGGCATTTCCATGGCCTCCCTTTGCCCCCAAAACAGGGTTCATGCCGGGGAATGTGCTGTGCTCAGGGTGGCTCACAGCAGCACCCTGCACCACTCAAGGCCAGGAAAACTTAACAATTGTCTCCCCTCCCATCCCAAGCTGGAGAGCTCCCTCTGTTAATTAAGTTATGTTCCTGGCCACAAGAAGCAAATGTATCCAACTGTCTTATTGTTTGCCTGAAGACATCTTTTTCTCATTCCATATGAATTGATTATCTGTAATGTAAAAGCAAGAGAACAAATACACACTTGGTGTGAATAGACTTATTCTGAGGAGGAAAAAAAAAAGAATGCTGAATGCCTATGAGCCAGATTTGAGGCAATGACTTCAGTGTCTAACAGCAATTTTCTCAGCAGGAAGGGAAGTAACAGGAAGACAGGAGGAACAGAAGTGCAGGCAGGATGTCTGAATCCCTCGGAGGACTCAATGTGAAAAGAGATGGGGATTGTGCTTTACTTCAGTAGGTTACACTTTCTCTAGCATCTTCCTTCCATATCCTTCTTCCAGCTCTTTTTAGGTCCAGTGATCACTCTGAAATGTCCTGTGTGCTGGTTTTCTCTTCTAGACCCCCTTCCCTCTGCCACCCTGCCCCTCCCCCCCAGTTCTATCCTAGTTAACTCCTGTGCACAAGGCACGGGGCTGAGAACTGAAATAGAAGGCAAAGGTGAGTCACACACCATTCTTTCCTCTAAGGAGCTTGTGACCCACTGGAGGGATAAGTCAATTACATAATAAACCATAGTGCAAAGTCCACTAAGGTAAGCGCCAAAGGAAATAAAAATAAGCAAAACACAAGGAGGCTTAAAGCAGGAAGAGGGAATAGCCAGCGGGATGTCAGGTAAGGCTTTATCTGGGAAGTGATCTTAGAGATAAGCCTTGAAGGATAGGATTTCGACAGGGGAACTCCCCAGTGACTGGGGAGACCACACCAGCAAAGGCACAGAGGAACTGATGCAAAAATGTGAGGCAGGGTGAGGAGGTGGTGAAATCTAGGATAAATAAGTCCAGGTGATGACTGGCGTTGATTTAAGAAATGAGAAACAGTTCAAAGTTATTAAAGAGAACAGTGCTATGATCATGGTCATTAATTAGAAAGGTTATGGTTTTAGTGATGTGGATAACCAGGGAGGAGAAGGCCACAACACTGACCACACTGAGTTCTCCAGTACCAATGACATAAATCTATAAAAGCAACATGAAGTTTCTTCCTGTTTTTCTATCACTTTATTAATATACCCACAAAGAGCTGGAGTCACAAACACACACACACAGCTGAGTATCAGCAAATTTGGAGGACATTTTGGGGGACAGTCAACATAAGGAATAAGAAATCAACATGGAAGGACTTCGGGAGACTCTAGAAGGTACCTTACAAAGATAAGCAGTCATCCTCCAAGGACAATAAATAAAGTTCTACAATTGTTGGTTTGAGAGGAGACACACCGTAAGATGTTGAGAACAGAGAAAACAAACAGGGGTTCAAAGATAAGCCCCAAGGATATAAAATCAATGCAAAGAAATTAGTTGCATTTCTATACACCAACAAGACAGAAGAAACAGAAATAAAGGAGTCGATCCCATTTGCAATTGCACCCAAGACCATAAGATACCTAGGAATAAGTCTAACCAAAGAGGCAAAGAATTCATACTCAGAAAACTATAGAATATTCATGAAAGAAATTGAGGAAGGCACAAAAAAATGGAAAAACGTTCCATGCTCATGGATTGGAAGAACAAACATTGTGAAAATCTCTATGCTACCTAGAGCAATCTACACATTTAATGCAATCCCTATCAAAACACCGTCAACTTTTTTCAAAGAAATGGAGCAAATAATTCAAAAATTTATATGGAACCAGAAAAGACCCCGAATAGCCAGAGAAATGTTGAAAAGAAAACCAAAGCTGGTGGCATCACAATGCCGGACTTCAAGCTTTATTACAAAGCTGTCATCATCAAGACAGTATGGTACAAAAACAGACACATAGATCAACGGAACAGAATAGAGAGCTCAGAAATGGACCCTCAACTCTATGGTCAACTAATCTTCGACAAAGCAGGAAACAATGTCCAATGGAAAAAAGACAGTCTCTTCAACAAATGGTGTTGGGAAAATTGGACAGCCACATGCAGAAGAATGAAACTGGACTATTTCCTTACACCACACACAAAAATAGACTCAAAATGGATGAAAGACCTAAATGTGAGACAGGAATCCATCAAAATTCTAGAGGAGAACACAGGCAGCAACCTCTTCGACCTCAGCCACAGCAACTTCTTCCTAGAAACATCTCCAAAGGCAAGGGAAGCAAAAATGAACTATTGGGACTTCATCAAGATAAAAAGCTTTTGCACAGCAAAGAAAACAATCAACAAAACCAAAAGACAACCGGCAGAATGGGAGAAGATATTTGCAAATGACATATCAGATAAAGGACTAGTATCCAAAATCTATAAAGAACTTATCAAACTCAACACCCAAAGAACAAATGGTCCAGTCAAGAAATGGGCAGAAGACATGAACAGACATTTTTCCAAAGAAGACATCCAAATGGCCAACAGACACATGAAAAAGTGCTCAACATCGCTCGGCATCAGGGAAATCCAAATCAAAACGTCAATGAGATACCACCTCACACCAGTCAGAATGGCTAAAATTAACAAGTCAGGAAACGACAGATGTTGGCAGGGATGCAGAGAAAGGGGAACTCTCCTACACTGTTGGTGGGAATGCAAGCTGGTGCAGGCACTCTGGAAAAGAGTATGGAGGTTCCTCAAAAAGTTGAAAATAGAGCTACGCTACAATCCAGCAACTGCACTACTGGGTATTTACCCCAAAGATATAAATGTAGTGATCCAAAGGGGCACATGTACCCCAATGTTTATAGCAGCAATATCCAAAATAGCCACACTATGGAAAGAGCCTAGATGTCCATCAACAGATGAATGGATAAAGAAGATGTGGTAGATACATACAATGGAATATTATGCAGCCATCAAAAAACCCAAAATCTTGCCATTTGCAACGATGTGGATGGAACTAGAAGGTATTATGCTCAGCGAAATAAGTCAATCAGAGAAAGACAATTATTATATGATCTCACTGATATGAGGAATTTGAGAAACAAGGCAGAGGATCATAGGGGAAGGGAAGGAAAAATGAAACAAGATGAAACCAGAGAGAGAGACAAACCATAAGAGACTCTTAATCTCAGGAAACAAACTGAGGGTTGCTGGAGTGGAGGGGGTGGGAGGGATGGGGTGGCTGGGTGATGGACATTGGGGAGGGTATGTGCTATGGTGAGCGCTGTGAATTGTGCAAGACTGATGAATCACAGACTTGTACCTCTGAAACAAATAATACATTATATGTTAATAAAAAATAAAAACAAAGATAAGCCCCAGATTGAAAGTCATATAGAGACAGAGGGTCCAACTTGAAGGCACTGATAGACAGTTAAAAACCGAGCCTCCCTCTGAGTAGCATGGTCAGGGTAAAGTGGCCACAAGGAGGTTAGGTCAGCAGGTCAGAAGGTAGGACTGAAGAAGCAGAGACTGAGATAGGGGAAGGCAGCATGTGGGCCCTATGGTGCTTTCTGCAGCCTTCTTCAGTAGAGATTCCTGGTAACCCCATGTCCTTACAGCCAGAGACCCACACTCACCTCTCTAGTTATTGAGGGGACATCTGGAACAGGCGAGGGGAAGGAACAGATGAGACAGGAGGCTGAAGGGAGTGCAGGATGAAGTGTACATTCGGTGGGAGTAAGGGGCGGGGCTGCCCAGTGCTCAGAGAGCTGGAGCCATTGAAGGTGGAGCAATTCTAAGGGAAGCCAGGAGAAAGAGAGAGACAGAGAGAAAGAAGTGGGGGCTGGCGGGGGGGGGGGCAGGGAATGAGGGGTGGAAAAGCTGCCCGGGGCAAAAGAATGGAAAATAGTAGGATGAACTTTTCATTTAGAGCAGTGATTAAATCCCAGATGGGCTTCCCCCAGGTGGAGCCCAAGCCCAAAGGATGGAGAATTGTAGCCTTCTGAGAGGGGGTTGGGGTCTGCTGACTGCTCTTCTATTGCCCTGAGTATAGGGGTGGGGGGGCAGTATAGGGTGGGAATAGAGAAGTAGAAGAGGGGGAAGATTCAGGTCAGAGGCAGGAACTGTCCACCTGGAGGTCTTGAAGGTGCCACAGTTTGAGCAACAGGCTCTCTTCCTCTCCCTCCCTTTGCCCACAAGCAGCTTTGAGCTGAGATCCAGAGAACCCATTTGGTTCTGATGTGGATGGCAAAGAGGTCTCTTAGAAATCCCCTTCATTTTGCCAGCAAACTGAAGGTGTTCCTGCCACCTTTAAGTAAGGCAATTTCAATAAAACAAAGACAAACCAACTAAGGGAGTTGGTTAATCAGGACTCTCCTTGAACTCTACTTCTTAGAAAAAGTCTAAGCAATTTTTTAAGCTAATATAAAGTGTTGTTAAAAAAAAAAGTATACCTGATTTTCAGGTTGCGCTCTGGGGTCAGTAAAAATTCAATACAGTCTACTCTTAGATGAATATGACTCCAGGCACATAATACTCAATCTGCTGAGATTAAATTACGTTTATTATCATCAACAGACATGTACTGAGTGTATCCTAGGTGCTAGAAAGGACACAGAGACTTAGATGACCTGTTTCTTATTTTAATGGCATTACAATCTAATGGGGGAGACCGAGTGTATGTATTAGGATCACATATTTCCCTTTCCCACTCTCCAAGGCAACTATTTCACATCTCTTCCCCTTTCTTCAAATGTCCCAAACTTGCCATCCCCTCCCCTCAGCTGATGACTTGCATCCCCTTAGCTGATGATGCTTCTTATTTCACTCTGAGCATAGATACAATTAGAAGAAAACAACCCCATCTTCCCCCACCAATCCTCCCTGCTTCTGCCACCCATAGGTTTCCTAGGCTTCCCCCATCATAAGGAATGGGCTGCCCTCCTTCTGAGAGCCAGTACACATACTGGTAAATCTAAATCAGCACTGGTTGTAAAATTATCTTAATAAGTAACAGGAATGGGAATAAAAATGAGGAAGAACCAAAATGCTCCACAGCGGTAGTATGGAAGATACAAGTCAGAAGGGCTCGAAGGTAAAGCCTAAAATGTAGAGTTAGATTTCACCAATACAGAAATATAAAAAAAAAATTTTTTTTAAAGCAGGAAAGAAGAAAAAAAGGCCAAAAAAGGTATGGCTAATGAAACCCACAAAATAAGATGGAAGAATAAGTCAAAACATAGCAGTAATCATAGCAATAAAATGATTAATTTGCCTATTAAAATACAGAGAACTTCAGAGTAGATACTAAAAATTCCAGCTATTTGTTGTTTATAAGAGATAAATCTGAAACATAATGACACAGAAAAGTTGAAATAAAAGGAATAGAAAAATATATACCAGGTATACTGAAATTAAGTATTTTTAATCATTAAAAGACTAATACAAGAGTGAAGAGGCAAGGCTCAGAGTGGGAAAAGAAATTTGCAACCACATAATCAACAAAGAAATTACATCCAGAATATGCAAAAAGCTCCTGTAAATCAATATTTTAAAAGATGCATAACTTAAGAGAAATAGAAGCAAGAATGTACAAGCAAGTCACAAAGGAGAAAACTAAAACAGTGAATCAACATGTGAGGGTGCTCAAGTCCATTAGCATTCAGAGAAATAAAAATTAAAACCAGAGTGAGATACCATTATATATCCACCAGAATGGCTAACATTTATGGATGTATTCTTGGAACAACACTTTGGAAACCAGGTTGATGTGATTGACTAAAATGGAAAGTATGCAAACCCTATAACCTAGCAATTCCGCTCCTATTGGAAAGGCATATTCATGTGCTCCAAGAACCTTGTACAAGACTGTCCCCAGATGCATTATCTGTAATAGCTCCAAATGGAAACAATCCTAATTTCCACCAATACAATACAATGGAACCCAACACAGGAAAGGATAATGAGTAGAATACACACAACATGGATGAATCTCAAAATACCATATTGAGAAAAAGAAGCCAGACACCAAAATGAAAACATACTCTATGGTTCCATTTATATGAAGTTCAAAAACAGGCAAAACTGAACTATGTTAATAAGGAGTACTTACTTAGATGGTAAAAGTATAGTGAGAAAGAAACAGTTTGTATAAGTCAGAATTGTGGCTACCTTGAGGGAATGGGGGGTTGTGATGGAGAAGGGACATGCGTGAGTCTTTGGGGGAGGTGGAAATATTCTATGTCTATTTGAAGAGACTTAGTAAACTATATATTTATGTTTTATACATTTTTCTGTATATTTAATATTTCTTAAAAGTAGGTTATGTTTTTTAAAGATTTATCAGGCAAATACTAAGTACAGGTAAAGTCCCTTTCCTCATCTTCCTTGACCTCTCTCAGTTGACCATTTCTTCTTTCCTGATACATTAAAATACTCAAAGCCTTGTCTTTAGCTTGTTTTCTTTCTCTACACTTTCTTCTTAGATGATGCTCTCATCCATTATCTTGACTTCAAATGCTATCTATATGCTGACAAATTCCAACACTTTTTCTCTAGCCCTGACCTCTCTCCTGAGCTCCAGACCTGTAAATCCAACTGCCTTGTTTACCTTCCTTCATTCTCTTATTCAACAAATATTTATTGAGCTTGTAGTATGTTCTAGGTTCTGCTCTGCATGCTGGGAATCTGGCAGTGATGTAATCAGGCAAAGTCCCTGCCTTTAGGGAACTTCAGTGTTATACAACTCCATTTGGGTGTCTAGTGGGCATTTCAAAAGTTACATGATCAGAACAGAACTTCTAATTTCTGGCCCCAGCCAATAAAACTCATTCCTTCTGTAGCCTTTCTCCTCTGTAAATAGTCCTATTCTCTACCCAGTTGTTTAAGTCAAAACTAGGAGTGATTCTTGACCCCCTCATCTTTCACCACCAGCATTCTGCTGGTAGTAGCTGTACAATATATGGAAAATCTAACCACTTCTCAGAATCTCGAGTACGGAAACTCCACTTTTTGGTACTTTTGCAATTATTCTACCACACAGTATACAAGACATCTTCTTATTCCTTTAAACCTCAGATATAGAGGTGAGTTTACCATATTTCTTTATTTTATCATTCTCATGAGTCTAGGCCCCCCTTTTTTTGAGAGAGAGCAAGCAGTGGGGAGGGGCAGAGGGAGAGGGAGAGAGAGAATCTTAAGCAGGTTCCACGCTCAGCACGGAGCCCAGTGTGGGACTCAGTCTCACAACCCTGAGATCATGACCTGAGCTAAAATCAAGGGTCAGACCAACTGAGCCATCCAGGTGCCCAGAGTTTAGGCCCCTTTTATTTTTGTTTTTCCCCATTCAGTCCTGATCTCCACAATTTGCGAATTTCTCTGGGACATATATTCAGGGAGTCTGGTTCAGAAAGTATCACGCACTTGATATGACTAAATGCCACCAGATTGTACCCTAGAAGGGTGAGCAATAGTATTCCATTGTGCTCATTCCCTACTTCTTAGGATTCTTAGGCATTTGTAGGGGATGTTGCAATGCACCACCAGTTCCTTCTTCAGGACCCAGGCACTCACTTCCTCAGCTGTCTGGAGGATTGGCTACCTAGGGCTCATCACATTGTCCCTCCCAAGGTACTGACCTGGCAGAAGGGAGCCTGCCTCAACCAAGGTCGTACCCTGGGGAAGGGGAATCCATAGGCAGTCCAACCTATGATGGTTACCTTCAGCTCCACATACATATTTCCATAAACATTATTGTATATGTCCATTTGTGGACTTTTTCTAGAAATGTTCTGCGATGTGTCTACCTAGAATACTTAATTTCAGTAAGTTTTGCCCAGTTGCTTTCTAGGAGGTGTGTACTGACTTAATCTCCAGCAGCCAGGCTCCCACCTCCACACAACACTTATCACCATCCACCTTTCTCCACATATGGCATTAAGAAAAACTTGCAAAAATAAATAAGGATTGAAAGAAAAATCAGATTCCTGGTCAACCTCCAATTTACCAAAATACCCCCAAAGTTTATGCTTTGCTGTTTTTGTTAGGGGCAAAAAAAAAAATCATTGAAACAGAGAATTACCAATATAGATCCTACTACAAAGAATTCAAATAACCATAAAATACTCATAAATCTGATTTTTCCACTTAGGTAATGTATATTGCTTCTTTAACATGTAAAACTTTTAAGAAGAGCTTGAGCCTGGTACATATATTTATACAATTTATCACTGACATGAACAGTGTAATTGCTAAGGAATAATTTTCTCTAGAAAATGTTTGCCAATGTGATGTATGTAGATTTTACTGGGCACAGAGGGAAAAATGAACAGTTCACCAATTTTCAGTTGTCCTAATGGAAAAGATGAGAATACTCGAATTATGCTTAATTCTCCAGTCACTTATTTGGGGGTTTGAAATCTTCGTGAGACTTGCATTCAGAGGAAGTAGCAAATAAATTGTCATGTTTTCATGGAAGAGGGGCAGTGTGGAGAGACCCTGAAAATAAGCAATTCATTTATACAGGGGAAAATTTACAGACCACTGAAAGTTGATGTCTATTGTGTTCTGGACCACAAGTAAGATAGCTAATTGGTTTGGCTTTGGCTTTGGTTTGGGTTTGGGCTTTGTTGGCTGTTTCTTTTCAGCAGTTATGCTCTCTGGGTTTCTTCCCCCTTAAGTTTGGCTCACTGATTTACAAACAAACAAATATTCTTGTTTAAAATGAAAATGCAATGAAATGTGTCCCAAGCTTTTTCTGTAAATTGACTTACTCTAGCAAAGCAATTAAGTAGACGTTTATCAAAGTCATCTGTCACTCGTCCTCCATATTGAACTTCTCCAATCATGTACCGAACAGTACTCCATGATACACCCTTTATTAAAAATACAAAAGATTATTCATTGTCAATCCAAACAAGAAACTCTGAACATTTCAGGTCTTTCCCTGGAGAAAATGTCTCAAAAAGGAAGCACAAACTAGATCACATTTAAAATGACTCATAATCTTCTCTTAGTAGCTCTTTTGCTATTACATGACTGAAACTGCCAGGGTTTGGTCACCAAAGAAAAATCTACAATACTAAATATCAAGTGAATATATTACTCACTGATCATTTAAAATGTGGGGGGAAGACTATTTTTTTCACTCTGTGGATGTAATCATCTATAACACTCATTATAGTAATGCTAAGCTGTTAGAAAAAAGTCATGTTTAGTGAAGAAAGTGGGAAAAAATCGAGTAATCAATGGTTTAATATGCTTTCTTAGTTGTATATTTTCTGAATCAGTATGAGAACAACCAGAAAATTATTCATTCACAGCATTTTTCTACAATGCAATCCTTTGCTGTCTCATTCTGTGAGCTATAACTAAATCAAAGTATTTATTAATTTCCATAGCAATCTTATCCTACAATACATTACAGATATTAATAGTTTTTTGTTTTTTTTTTTTACTCAATACATTTGGGGTAGGAAAAGTAAGAATGCTTGATTTTTTTTTTAATTTACTTTCTCTTGGCTAAATTTTGATTCATCAGCTCTACTGCCTTTCAAAACATCTATTTCAAGGTTAACTATTATTTGTATATACAAAATGATAAATAATAACAGAGTATGAACCCATAAAATGTAATTTTTCATCAAGCTGTCATACTCAATTTAATATCCCTTTGTAACTTCAAGGAAAAATAATGGTTTCTAGATCCTCCAGTGGCCCACATAAAAATTCATCATGGCTTACCATCACCATACTGATACTCCAGTATCTATAATTAGCTTCAAGATCTACTATGAGAAAGAAGAGAAGGGGAGACAGTAGGAAACCAGAATTTACTGAGTTCTTATTGTGCACCATATACTGTGCTTTCACAAATGCTAATTCACTTATTCTTTACAGAAACCAAGACCGCTTTGTAGATGAGGAAACAGGCTATAAGAGGCTCATGAACTTGCTCTAGATCATAGAGAAAACGGATTTCCAACCCTTTTTAACACATGTGGAGGGACAACTGGCTTGTGTTCTTAGGTCTGTGACCTGGAGGAAGTCCTTTATTCTCTTTTGTCCATTACCTCACCAGTAAAACGGGGATAACAGTAATGCCCTCTGTGCCGACCTCACAGAATTGGGAAGTTTCAAGTGAGATCCTTCATGCATGAGCACTTTGAGAACTGTGAAATGCTGGACAATGATCAGTGACTATTATTAGAAATTATTGCCATCTATTTGTGTAAGTTTAAACATCTGTTAAGATGTGACTAAACCTGAGAAAGAACTCTTGTGTGGGCTAAGATAACATTTTCACTTCTGAAGAGGCATCAGTGAGATGCTGGAAGAAAAGTCTGATTTAAGGTGTACATTCTCTTGAAGTGCACTGGGGGCAGTTAGGTGGGATATGAGGAAGGTTGTGGAGTTTCTGCACACAATGAGTTGCATCATTTGTGGTCTGTCTCTGCTGTATGTGCCCAGGACAGAGACGAGAGGGGGGGAACACAAATCTGAGATTAGGGTCCAAACGCACTCCTAGGGGCAGTAGGGGAGTGAGGGGAAATGGCTGGACCAGTGAACAATGGATTAGAATGAGCAGTCCCTTTTCGGGGAGGTAGGGGGAACCTCAGGGGGTTCAACTGTGTATTATAGACTGAAAATGTCTGTAGAACCTTGATTTGAGGAAAGCAATAAAAATGGGAAAAAAATAACAATTTCACTCACTTTTTTAATATCACATTCATCAAGGTGATTCTGAATGAACTGGACACTGGCTGCAAAGTCAGCAGAATTGAATTCATAGGGAATATTCCATCCTAAGGGACCAAATTTGCGTCGCTCCTTAACAACACCAAGGAAAAAAAGTAAGATTTTAAAATTGAATGCAGCTGATTTCTCTTATTATTAAAACATAAAATACAGGAAAATTAAGGCATGATATAGAGATAAGTTGATGTCATAAAAGAACAGTATACAATTTTTGATATATTAACCACTAGAAATACTATTTCATGGCTCTATGGCCAGATGGTTTACAAGAATATATCCTCAGGTGCCTAGGTGGCTCAGTTGGTTAAGTGTCTGCCTTCTGCTCAGGTTATGATCCCAAGGTCCTGGGATCGAGTCTGAGTCCTGCATTGGGCTCCCTGCTCATCAGGGAGTCTGCTTCTCCCTCTACCCTCCCACCCCCCGCTGATGTGCACATGTGCATGCTTTCTCTATCCTGCAAAAATAAATAAATAAAAATCTTAAAAAAAAACAACAAATCCTCAAATATTTGCCAAATTGGAGTTCTTGGGCTTTAAAAAAAAGTCTAGGTTTCCATTGCCAATTCAAAAAAAAACGCAGTAGGTGCTCAATAAATGTCTGTTAAAAGAATTCATTTATACTAAATTGGACTCTTAAACATTTCAAATGTTAAATGTAAGGGTTTAAATTTTTGTTTTTCCAGTTGAATAACTTAAGGACTCAAGAGCATTTAGACCCCCTGCTAGTTTCACTTTGTAATCTTGCAATTTCAGACTTAGAAAACCCCAAATCTCTATGGTGAAACATGACACATCCTTCTTAAAACTTTCACATTGCCCTCATTTGTTCTCTCCTATGAAACAGTAGCTGTTTTGAATTGCCAAATTGCCCATAAGCAATCCAAAGGGGCTCATATCAAATGATTCAGTTGCCTCAATATTCTGGAGACCATGTTAGAACTGGTACTTCCAGGCTCTGATCACCTAGCAAACCACATAGATTAACTCAAATATCACAATACAATCAGCTTTCTCTGCCTTGGTGCACAACCAATCTCTAAGGGAGGCCCAATTATTTATTTGGGTTAGCTCCTAGCCCTTTGACCCTAGTCGTTGAGGTGAGAATTCATGGGGAGAATAGAATCCCAAAACATCTATAGAAAGGTATAATTCTACTTCTCTACCTCTAAATATATACTAACTTTTCTTTCTCTCTTCTGCCTTCCCACACACACACATACACACACACACTCACATGCTATTTTCACAAGTCATTCCAATACTTCTTACTACAGCTGCTCCATGCTTTAGATCCTAATTAATACCACCATTTAAGGAATCTAAATGAATTTTAGTTTAGACAAATTCACAGACGGGTCAGAGAAAAAAATTCAGAAAGCAAGAAGGTTTAATTACTGATTTTCAGAATGTGCTTTTAAAATATTAAGTAAACCATGAAAATTAATTTGGGTAATTTGGGTCCAGATGTCCTGACCCTGGGAGATCAGACTGTTAAATAAAAATTCAACCAAGTAAATCTTAAAGATCTCCATGGCTTTATTGAACGATTGATGAATCAGGCAGCATCCACTTAGATAGGAAGGAGCCCCAAAGAGCTACAGAAAAGGAAAGGTTTTTAAAGGCAGAGAGAGGATGGCACAAGGAAGTCATAAATAAGGAAAAGGATTATTTTGGGCAAAGTCACCTTCCTTTGGGGGAGAAAAGGGGTCTATTAAGGGATTACCTCACTAGTGCTGACCAGGAAATTCCAGACTAACCAGTTAAAATTACATTCGAGAGAAGGTTGAAATTGCAGTTAGATTACATATTGGTTTCAGTTTGGTGATGTGGGCTTAGCACAAGTAACTCCATTTTGGGTCTGTTGTCTCCTTTTTAACAAGACTGAGGGCAAACAAACAACTCTTAAAAATGTAAACTACCGAATCTTGGAGCAAGATGGCGGAGGAGTAGGAGACCTGGATTTCGTCTGGTTCCAGGAATTCAGCTGGATAGGGATCAAACCATTCTGAACACCTACGAACTCAACAGGAGATTGAAGAAAAGAATAGCAACAACTCTCTGAACAGAAAAGCGACCACTTTCTGGAAGGTAGGATGTGCAGAGAAGTGAATCCGAGGTGATATTTGGGAGGATAGATGGCGGGGGAGGGGGCCTTTGGCAGCCACCTCTGGCAAGTGATAGAGCTGTGGAGCACAAAATTGTAACTTTCAGAAGTTGGCTCTGCTGAGGGATGTTGCCCCAGTGGCTAAGTCGGGGGTGGAACCCTCTCTGCGATGGTGTGGTCTCAGGACCCTCGGGGTCAGAGAAAGACCGGGGGTGCCTGAGTGCGGCAGAGTTCCCAGGTATCTGAGCAGGGCAGCTGGTTGCAGAGACGGAGCTGAGGCGTGGGCTCTCAGCTCGGGTTTGCCATAAACCATGATCCATGGTACAGTTGGGCCACTGCTCCTCCAGCAGGGACCCAACAAGCGGCAGATCCGGGGAGACTCCCCTTCCTCCCCCGGGAGGAGTAGCGCAGGAGCGCACCACAGGGATCTGCTGGGTTTGGAGACTCCACACCGAGTTGGGTGCCAGAGATAGAAATGCTCGGTCACAGGCCAGGTGGGCACGGAGTGCGGCCAGAGACCGGGGAGACGGGAGTGACTGCCTTTCTCTGGAGGTGCACTGAGGAGCGGGGCCCCGAGTTCTCGGCTGCTCCGGGCAGAGATTGGGAGGCCACCATTTTCACCGTGGTCCTCCAAAGCTGTACGGAAAGCTTGCAGGGAACAAAAGCTCCCGAGAGCAAACCGGAGCAGATTACTGAACCGGGTCAGCAAGGGCAGGGCAATTCCTCCTCCGGCAAAGACATTTAGGAACCATGGCAACAGGCCCCTCCCCCAGAAGATCAGCAAGAGCAGCCAGCCAAGACTAAGTTTATCGGTCAATGAGAACGGCAGAACTCCAGAGGTAGGGGAATACTGCACATAGAATTCATGGCTTTTTTACCGTGATTCTTTAGTCTTTCAAAGTTAATTTTTTTAACTGTCTTTTTTTTAATTTTTCTTTTCCCTTTTTTCAGCCAACATCTTATCAATCCCTTTTTTAAAAAAAAATTTATTTTTCATTGTTAGAGTCATATTCTATCCCTTCATAGAAGTTACCCTTATTTTTGGCATATATATATATATATAGTTCTCTCTTTAAAATTTTGGGATACAGTTTCTTCTAACAGATCAAAATATACCTAAATCTCTAGTGTATGGCTTTGTTCTAGTCTCCTGCCTGATCACATTCTCTCCTTTTATTTTTCTTTTTTTTTAATCCTCTTCTTTCTTTTTTCAAACTTCTTATCTTATCAATTCCTTTTATAAAATTTTTAAAAATTTTCATCTTTACATTCATATTCCATCCCTTCATCGTATTAACCCTTATTTTTGTACATACATAAGTTTTTCTTTCTTTAAAATTTTGGGAGGCACTTTCTTCTAACAGACCAAAATACACCCAAAATCTAGTGTGTGGCACCGATCTATGTACCAGCCTGATCATATTTGATCATATTCTGTTTTTTTTTTTGTTTTGGTTTGTTCTGTTTTTGTTTGTTTTTATCTTTTTCTTTTTCTTTTTCTTTCCCTTTCTTTTCCCCCGGTTTCAGGTCTTTGCTGATTTGTTTAGAGTATATTTTCTGGGGTCATTGTTACTCTGTTAGCATTTTGTTCTCTCACTCATCTATTATCCTCTGGAAAAAATGACAGGATGGAAAAAATCACCTCAACAAAAAGAACAAGAGGCAGTACCAACTCTCAGGGACCCACTCAGTACGGACATTAGTACGATGTCAGAACTAGAGTTCAGAACGATGATTTAAAAGATACTAGCTGGTGAAGGGGAGTAAGTCAGAGGGGGAGACGAACCATGAGAGATGATGGACTCTGAAAAACAAACTGAGGGTTCTAGAGGGGAGGAGGGTAGGGGGATGGGTTAGCCTGGTGATGGGTATTGAGGAGGGCACGTTCTGCATGGAGTACTGGGTGTTATGAACAAACAATGAATCATGGAACACTGCATCAAAAACTAATGATGTAATTTATGGTGATTAACATAACAATAAAAAATTAAAAAAATAAAAAATAATAAAAAAAAGATACTAGCTGGGCTTGAAAAAAGCATGGAAGTTATTAGAGAAACCCTTTCGGGAGAAATAAAAGAACTAAAATCTAACCAAGTTGAAATCAAAAAGGCTATTAATGAGGTGCAATCAAAAATGGGGGCGCTAACTGCTAGGATAAATGAGGCAGAAGCAAGAATTAGTGCTATAGTCAGGAAACGTCAGATGTTGGCAGGGATGTGGAGAAAGGGGAACCCTCCTACCTGTTGGTGGGAATGCAAGCTGGTGCAATCCCTCTGGAAAACAGTATGGAGGTTCCTCAAACAGTTGAAATTAGAGCTACCATACGATCCAGCAATTGCACTACTGGGTATTTACCACAAAGATACAAATGTAGGGATCCGAAGGGGTATATGCACCCCAATGTTTATAGCAGCAATATCCACAATAGCCAAACTGTGGAAAGAGCCAAGATGTCCATCAACAGATGAATGGATAAAGAAGATGTGGTATATATACACAATGGAATATTATGCAGCCATCAAAAGGAATGAGATCTTGCCATTTGCAACCACATGGATGGAACTGGAGGGTGTTATGCTGAGTGAAATAAGTCAATCAGAGAAAGACATGTATCCTATGACCTCACTGACATGAGGAATTCTTAATCTCAGGAAACAAACAGGGTTGCTGGAGTGGTGGGGGGTGGGAGGGATGGGGTGGCTGGGTGATAGACATTGGGTAGGGTATGTGCTATGGTGAGCACTGTGAATTGTGCAAGACTGTTGAATCACAGATCTGTATTTCTGAAACAAATAATGCAAGATAAGTTAAGAAAAAAAAGAAGAAGATAGCAGGGGGGGAAGAATGAAGGGGAGTAAGTCAGAGGGGGAGACGAACCATGAGAGATGATGGACTCTGAAAAACAAACTGAGGGTTCTAGAGGGGAAGGGGGTAGGGGGATGGGCTAGCCTGGTGATGGGTATTAA